TGGAACAATGGAATGCTTGCCCTGGGTGTTCTGGGGCCTTGCACACTTTGTTTCATTCCCCATTCAACACCCCTGAGAAGCCAACAGTACTAATATTAATACATTCCTTTACACAGAAATGATCCTGACTCAGAAAAGCTGGGCTACTTGCCTAAGGGTGCACAGCTCATAAGTGGAGATGCTGGGATTAGAACCCTCAGCATTTCTCCCTCCCCATCTGTTCTCGTGGCCCTGGGCACACTTATGTCTTTCTAGGCCAACACTGTCTAACAAACTACAATGAGCGCCATCGATGAAATTTTACATTTTCTAGTAGTTGTATTGAAAAATAATAAGAAACAGATGAAATTGAGTTGAATAATATATTTTGTTTAACCCAGTATATTCAAAATATTATCATTTCAAGATGGAGTTAATATAAAAATTATTAATGGGAATATTGCCCTCTTGTATTCATACTATGTCTCTGAAATCAATGGTGTATCTCACACCTCTGGAACATCTCAGCTGGGACCAGCAGCATTTCAAGCGCTGAGTGGCCTCCTGCCACACATGGCTACCGATTGGCCCGTGCTGGTCTAGACTACAGCCACACCCCTGCCTCACGGGTGTGTGCAAGGGCACTGTGCCCAGAGTAGCATGGGCACATGCTCAGTGTGAACCCTTGCCATCATCCACATCACAGGGACACAGGGCCCACCACAGTGTCCTTGAATGAGGGTACAGCTGTGCTGAAGCCTTGCTTTGAAACCTCCACAGTGACCCTGCCTGGCTTGTTTTGCTTCCTGGCTGGGGCTGGCACCCTTCTCAGCCCTTCCAGACACCCACCTGGACCACACCTGCTTTGTCATCCTTGCTCCTGTAGCAGAGCCCACCTCCCTTGGAGTTTGCCTCCTTGCTGCCCAGAGGATGGCTGAGGTTCCTGGGAAGATCCCTGGGTTGCTCTTTATACAAAGCCAAGGGCAGCCCCTGGCATGTGGGTTCTTTACTGATACAGGGCAAGAGCCTTTTCTAAAACCCAGGGGTGGATGGGTGGGCTTGCTGTGAAACCCAGAGTGCTGCCCAGCCCACAAGGTAGTATTTTGTCTCCCAAGCAGCTGGGTGGGTGGAGATCTGTTCCCATGCTCACTCCTTCTCCAAATGCCTTGCCAAGGGGGAAATGCCTTTCAGTGCCATGCTTGTGCCAGCATCCAAGACAAGCTGTGGGCACGAGGGACCCTGAGCTGGCAGCAGGGAGTTCAGGGAGCCCAAAGAGGTTCTGGGTGGGGAGTTGGGGGGTGTGGGGCCTGGATGGAGTTTGAAATCCTCCCTCAGATTCCAACTCTAAACAGGAGATGTGAAAAGACATATTGTTCACGTACTCTGTTTTCTAAAGGGGATATTTTGTGATATACCTTGACCCACATTATTCTGCAGTTGCTTCTGGAAGCAGAGAATGAGTTTGTGTCTCACATCCAAACGTTCACACACACACACACACACAGAGACACACCACACACACACACACACACACACCACACACACACCACACACCACACACAAAAACACACCACACACACAAACACACCACAAACACACCACACACACATCACACACACACAAACACCACACATATACCTACTGACCACATACACACCACACACACACCCACACACCACACACACACCACACACCACACAAACACACTGCACATAAATACACCACACACTCACACATAGCACACACACCACACAAACCACACATACACCATACACACATCACACACTCACACATAGCACACACGCCATACAAACCACACACACACCATTCACACGAGACACACCACACACATACACACCACACATCCCCTCCACAGACACTCCACACACTTACCCCCTACACACACCACAACCCCCACACACACCACAACCCCCACACACACACCATACACACATATACCATACACACCACACTCACACCACACAAACCACACACACACCACACACATACACACCACACATCCCCCCACAGATATCCCACACACATACCCCACACACCACACACACACACCCCCAACACACACACACACCCCCCACACACAGTGCATCTGTGCTCACCCCACACACATTGATACGGGAGGAAAGATGTGAGCTTCACCTATAGACCTACACATAGACCACCACAGACCTAGTGCTTGCCTGGGAATTCATCACACAGCATTCGCTTGCTGAATTACATGCTTCTAACAGGCTTTCCTCAGTCACATTTTCACGTTCAGCAGGGAGCCGTGTGGCATGAGACTGTTAGTCCCGATTAGCAAATGAGGAAAGGGAGGTCGGAGGTGGCAGCAGGACTTACTGAGGCTGACATGGCCAGGGGCAGAGCCTGATTCCCGCCACCCTGGCTGACGTTGCCCCTGTCATTTGTCCCACTAGCTAGTAAGCTCTGTCGAGTCAGGACTACATGCTCCTGATTTCTGCACAAGTACTTGGACCAGGGAGGCAGGAAGCTACATTGTCAAGAGCTGGACCAAGGTTCAAATGTCAGCTCCCCTGATTACTAGCTGTGTGACTTTTGACAAATTACTTAACCTCTCTGAGTCTCAGTTTTCGCATCTATAAAGGAGGATAATTGCACTTGCTTCATAGTATTGCTATGGGAATTGTAGAATGTGTCTAATAAATGTTGTTGGGTGAACTGAGGTAGGCTTATGCATTGGCTGGTTCAGGACTTGGTCATGATGTTAAATGGAGTCCCTTTCTCTTAGCACATGGTGGACGTGCTCCACAAATGCAGAAGAAAAGAATAAAGAGATGAAAATGTAAGTCATATCTGCAATACACCTTCAGCACAGAATAGATTCCCAAATGCGCTGGGCTGTTGCTGAGAGCACCCTGGTGCTTCCTCCTCGGGTGATCGCCTCCTGGGCTGGCATCTTCCTCCTTGCACCTCAGAACCTTTACAGAACGTTTGCATATCTCCGAAAAGCCCCCCCAGTAACTCTACTTCCTCAAAGTTTTCTTAGCAATTCTCACATACATTTTCTTCTATATAAACATTTATAACCTTTTTTTCCATTAAGATCTCACTGGGCCCCTGGCTGCACATATTAATTGGGGAGGATGGCCACGGATGGAATTTGGCTAGGAAGCAAGGCTGGTTTCCGAGTGGAGCCCAGCTCCTTACTATCAGCCTCCTGGCCACACAGTGGGCGGGGCTTCAGGATGCCCTGAGAACTCAAGTGCCATGCATTCCTTTGTCCCAGAAGCATGAAACAAGCATGGGGTGGGTGGTCTGGGTTCCCCAGGCAGGGGCTGCCTAGCATAGAGGTGCCTGTGCTGGTCCCGGGGCCTGCCCTCCATCCTGCTGCCTGTGTCCCTCCGAACGCTCTGCTCTTTGCTGGTCTCCTCTGGCAGAGTCCTCAGTCTGCCCTTCGCTCCTCAGCGCCGGCTGTTCTGGAAGCTGCCTGGCGCTCCGGCACACTTGGACTCATGCTTAAACCGCTAGTCTCCTCTGCCCACGCAGACTGGGCTTCTCTCAAACTCTCACCTTTTCTCCATCCACTCCCTGCCCTCCCAGACATGGCAACCTGCAAAGCTGTACCCAGATAAAGGCACACCCATACCCAGAGCCTGAAATAAAGGCCCACTTAGCTCCTTCTGGGCAATCCTTTAGAAAACGCTCAGCTTCCCCTAAGTAGGGATGGTTAGAATTTGGCATCAGAAGATCTAAGTTTGGGCCCTGGCCGCTTGTTAATGAGGAGACCCTCGGCAAGTCCTTCACTTGCTCTCAGTTCCCATTTCTTTCATTTGCGAAACGGAGCTAATAACTTTTTGGTAAGGTGGTTTTGAACCAATGACAGGTAGGCACCCTGCCAGGCATGAGGATTTAGCCATGGATGAGACAGACTCACTCCCTGCCGTCCTCAGGCACACTGAGGCGTTGGAGGTGTCCCCATTCCCCAGCTCTCCGTCTGCTGTCGGCTCTCAGCCTCAGTGCTGGTTGAATCAGACCCAGGGTCTTTGAGTCCACAGGTAGGAGGCTTAATGCCAACTCTCAGTTTCCTCATCTGTGAAGGGGGTTTCTTCATCCCCAAGGACGCCGTCAGTATCAACTGGTGATAAACACCCTCTGTCTCTAGGCTGTTCTGCCTGCAGCAGGCCCTCACCTGGACTCTGGACTCTGGGGCCCAGAAGCTGCCAGGTGCCCACCTCCTGCCCTCACTGCGCTGCCTGCCCCTGCCTTTCCCTCACCTTGCCTGGCCCCAGCAGGCTGGCTCTATGTGGCCACGTGTGTGACTCCCCTGACTTTTTGGAGGTGCAGAACTTTGTCCCTTCCACTTGGTATACCCTGGGATGCAGCTGAAAGAGAGAGAAACCCTGGGGTGCCCACATCACCCCCACCCCGGAACAGCAGGCTTCACAGTCAGGACCCAAGCATGCACACCCTACAAACTGCAGAGGCCTATGCAGACCCAAGGGGGCCACAGCTGGGGTTAGCCGTCACCCTGAACACTGTTTGCTGGATGAGGAGCTTTTGTTGAAAGCTGATATTTCTCTTTCCAACTTTTTGTGGCCTTTTCCATCTCCCATCCTCGTAGTATCTCCAATGCTTAGAGTCTTGGAGTTTCCAAACTCAGAGACTCTGGATGTCTCCCCACAACTTCCTTGCTTTACACTGCTCCGGGAGGGTGAGTGACCCACCCAAGGCCACACAGCCAGTCCAGGCAAAGATGGGTCTGGAACCCGGGCCGCTGACTCCCAGTTCTGCTGAGGTGCCGTTCTTGCTGTGCTGTGTGAGGTCGGAAGAGGCCAGGCTGGACCTGTGTGGTTTGTCTGCCAGCTTCAGCCAACCTGGGCAGCTGACTCCTCACCCTGGGCCCTGCCTTTGCCCTGTAAGTGGCCACCTTCCTGCCCCAAACCTTCCCGGCTCTTTTCCTCCTGCCCACCAACCCCCATGCAGCAGGACCCAGTGGGGAAGGGAGCTGGGTCTCCCTCTGAGCCCCTCCAGGCAGGACTCACCGTGGCCAGGACGCTGCTGGCGGCTGCTGCTGTCACTGCTGCCAGCGTCCAGGGCAGGAACCACCTCATGCCTGGACGTCAGTGGCACAGGCATCGACCGAGCAGCAGAGGATCCGACCACCTCTCGGGGGAGCTGGACCCAGACTGGCCGGCCCATCAGGAGCACCAGATATGCCTCTTCCGCAGCCCTTGGGGGGTTTTATTAAAGCAAGTTCTGACGTCAGGGTGAAGGACAAACCCTGCATTTTCCTCTGAAAAAACTTTTCCTGCCTCTCTCTCTCTCTCTCTCTTTTTTTTTTTTTCTTCCCTCTGTCCCCACCTCCAGCCTGAGCTTGGCCAGCCTCCCCAGCTCTGACAGTTCTTAAAGGGAAAGTTACAAGGCTATGATTTTACAAGGGCGTGAAATTCTCACAGCGGAACTGGGGTCACCCTGCCTAGGTCTTCCCAACAGTGGCAGGGGGAGCGTGGGCTGGGGGCAGAGATACTGTTACCTCAGGCAGGCGGGTGTGTGGGCTTTGAGAGGGCTCCCAGTGAAAATCAACTCCATGTCATTTCTCTAGGCTGCTCCTACTTCTGGTTTTTTTTCTTTCTTTCTTTCTTTCTTTCTTTCTTTCTTTCTTTCTTTCTTTCTTTCTTTCTTTCTTTCTTTCTTTCTTTCTTTCTTTTCTT